CACTACGGACGGGATCGGCCGATCGAGGCGATCGCCCGACTCGATCGCCTCAAAAACAAACATGTTTGTTTTCAGTTTCAGGCGATCGAGTCGGGCGATTGGCCCGATCCAGCTGTAGTGGGCACCCCGGTATTACATATTTCAGTACAACATATTAAGTCATAAGTGTTGGGACCAGATACTGCTTGATTTTTCCTAAATACCACAACCGATAGTTTTATTTTGCACGTAGCCGGTTATAGGATGAAAAAAAAAGTGCAGCACAATGCAGCTGGCCGATTCTCTGCACAAAGCCGGTTCGAGCATGATGCTTCCGCGCACAGCCGTGACACGACGCGTCATGTAGTCGGTTAGGTGCAGCTGTGTGCTACTGTTCGCTGTCATTGGCCAAACAAGTATAGATCTACATGGATATGCCAAGTATTTAAACTAATATTTTAATGAAAGCTGACTGTTTTTTAAAAAATGCTTCAGAATGACAAGTTCACTGTTTCGACTGGCTCTTTGTCAGTAAATTAATTAACCCTAGTGGTTGAGTGTAAGTATGGATACTGGGCATGGGGGGTATGGGTTCAAACTTTTTGGCCTCTCCTTTCTTAATGGAGACTTAATACTTTTAGCATTCTTAAATCACCAGCTAACCCTAAACCCCTACGATACCTTCTTAGCTGTAATTATTCGATACTTCCTATTTGATGCAAACCTGACAAGTCTATTCTGACCAGAGCATCTTTTCGTTTCTGTTGAGATATTTTAGTCTTTTATATCCCAGCCTTTTGGTCTCATTTTATCTTCAGTTGTGCTACCCAATCTTTTTCTTTCGAGAAGGAAGTCCCCCACCATGATAATTTGTACATGTGTACCATTTCCTTCGGAAGCCTAGGTGGTGACCCATACTCTGATGATACATTCAATATCAAAGCGTTGGCAAATTTGTTTTAAGTAACAACCCCAATGCGTTGGAGAAGCATTCATTGTTGAAACAAACAAAGGGAGGACAATAGACGAATTTCTTACTAGTATCAAAATGATTAAAATAAACAGATTATCATGCCACAGAACTATGTACAGAGACTCATTCTCCACAACTAACTGAGATGCCATCCCGATTACATTCGTAAGGGGCGCTTCTGTTTCGAAAACTGGTATAGACACGACAACCCTAGCTCAAAATACAGGGCGCTGCACAGCGGCGACTGACAGTGGCAAGGTCGTAAACTGTTCTGTATTTGTGTAATATTGTGCATTTATGTATCTATGTTATTTATACATGTATTTATGTATGTACGTATTTACAATTATGTATATATGTATGTAAATGTATGTTTTCCTTTGTAAACCAAAGTGCCCTTCAGGGACAAATAAAAGTGTAATTTATTATTTATTATTTATTGGATCTTCTTTAAAGGGGGGGGGGGGGGGGAGAAGGAGTTCCACCTCAGGGCTGAAATGGCCATTACTGAGTCAAACGACTCGAAACTTTGCATGTAATGGACACTTAACACAAAATTCCTTGTGTAAGAAATCTTCTGTTGGTCATGATAATTTTCATTTTAATGGCCACCATCTTGAATATTTTGTTATTTATTCCCAATGTTTTTATTCCGAAAGTTAGCGATGGAATCAGTTTGCCTTTCAGAAATAGGTAGGCAAAACGGTTTTTTTTTGGTTATCGTAAAGTAGCTGTGGTTTTTGTTTGTTCTTTAATTTTTTGGTAAGTGTTTTACGGCGCTCGCAACTTCATAAGGTCAAATGAGTGCGCGAGACACATTAAACATTTTCAGTTGGAAGGAAATTTGAAATTTCGATTTTGGACTACCAAGGGATCTTTAACATGCGCAACTTGCACTCGGGACCTCCGAAATTTTAATTTTTCGCCCTAGTCGGAGAAGGCTAGGTGTAGATCTTTCCTATCAGAAGACCAGGGGTGTGGCTGAAAGACAGCAATAAAAAGGAGCCAAGGAGGAGTAG